AAAAAAAAAAAAAAAGCAAATCTCATGCACAACTGGTCTGAAAGTGTAATAGTGCCACCATTATGGAAAACAGTTTCTCAAAAAAATAAAAATAGCATTACCACATGATCCAGCAATTTCACTTCTTGGAACACAGACAAAAAGAACTGAAAGCAGGATACTGAAGAAATATTTGTACACTCATGTCATGGTAGCATTATTTACAAGTCAAAAGGTAGAAGCAACCCAGTGTCAGTAGGCAGCTGAGTAAAAAAGTGGCACATATAATGGAGTATTATTCAGCATCAAGACGGAAGGACAATTCAGACAGAAGCCACAAAGATGAACCCTTAGGATATGCTATATGTTATAAAAGTCTCAAAACCACAAAAACTTTATGATTCTTCTTATGAGGGGCCTACAGTAGAAAAATTCATAAAGACACAAGTAGAACAGTGGTTGTTATGGAGGAAGGGGAGAATGTCAAGTTGTTTTAACAGATTTCAGTTTCACAAGATGGAAAGTTATGGTTATTCACTGCACAGTATGAATGTATGTCACATTATGGAACTACAGTTAAAAATGGGTAAGATGGTAAATTTTATGTGATGTGTTACCATGACTTAAAAAAAAAAAACTATATATATCGTAGTTTCCAGTGCTGACTTAGAGAAAACTGTGGCTGAAAACTTTCCCAGCTGCTGTGCTCACAAGCTCTTTCCCCGGTGCTGAATGAGGTGGGAGTTTTGTTAGACTTTTTTACCTTCCTTGTATTCGCTCTTGATGCCTATATCCAGTGTGAGTGAGTCTCTGAAGCGTATTCAATACAGTTGGCATGGACCTAGGTAATTCCCCACTAGCTGCATTCATAAAGCTTTCCTCCACTGTGGATTTCTGGTGATCAATGAGGCAAGACTTTTAACAAAGGCCTTGCTGTATTTGCTGAACTCATAAAGGCTTGACCTGGTATGAATTCTCCAGCATTTAATAAGGTAATAGTGTAGTTGTGTAACCCCACATTCACGGTGCTCAGAAAGCTTCAGTGTGGATTTTCTGATCAAGAACCAGTTGCGACTCTTAAGTGCTCTGTTCCAGTGAAGTGTCTGCGGTTTCACGAGGCTGGAGTTGTACCTGATGAATCCCCCACATTTGCTGCACTTACAGACTTTCTCCACTGTGAACTCTCTGGTGTCTACTGACGTTGGATTGGTGCCTAAAACACTTGGTACATTTGCTTCATTCATAAGGCTTTTCCCCTGTGTGGACCGTCTGGCTCTGAGTGAGGTGGGCCTTTCTAATGAAGGCTTTCCCACATTTGCTGCACTCGTGAGGCCTTGGTGTAGTGTGGTATCTCAGGTGTTCAGTAAGTCCAGACATTCGTGTAAAGAATTCCCCACATTTACAGTGCTGAAAAAGTCTCTCTTCAGTGTGAACTTTCTGATGCTGAATGAGGGGTGACTTTCTGATGAAGGCCTTTTCACATTTACTGCACTCAAAAGGCCTTTCTCCAGTGTGAATTTTCTGATGCTCAACAAGAATAATTTTGCTGTTGAAATCTTTCCCACATTGGCTGCACTTATAAGGCCATTCTCCTGTGTGCATTTTCTGATGCTGAAGGAGTTGGGACCGTCTAATGAAGGCCTTCTCACATTCGCTGCATGCATGAGGCCTCTCTCCAGTGTGAATTCTGCGATGGGTAACAAGGTTGGAGATGTACCTAAAGAACTTCCCACATTCTCTGCATTCATAAGGCCTCTCTCCAGTGTGGATTCTCCGGTGTTTAATGAGACTGGAGCTGTACATAAAGGTTTTCCCACATTCACTGCATTCATACAGCTTTTCTTTGGAGTGAACTTTCTGATGGCTCGTGAGTGTGGAGTTGTGCCTAAAGAATTTCTCATATTGGCTGCACCTGAAAACTTTTTCTCCACTGTGATTTTCCCAATGTTGAGTGAGGGCAGAGTCGTGCCTAAGGAAAGGCCCACTGCCACCCCACTCATGAGGTCCTTCTCCAGTGTGGAATTCCTGGTGCTCAACTAGCATCAGTCTCGGGCAGCAGGGATCCCCACACTCGCTGCACATGTGACCACTTTGCCCACTTTCAAAGGCCTCGCCACACTCCATGTCCCTCTGTGGCTCCCCCATACTGCAGGCGGCCAGGGGCGGCAGGCCTGCAAAGCGCCCCCCACCCTCCCCGCACGTCCAGCCCCTCTCTGCCATGCAGACCCTGTGGCCTGCCATGAGGGAAGGGCTCCACCTGCTCTGCTCCTTCCGGTGCTGGCGCGGGTGTGCCCCCCGAGTGTGTGGCCCTTCTGCACGCTGTGTCCCATCGTGCTCAGCCCCCTGCAAAATGTCTGTCCGGAGTGGGCCGGATGTATCATATGGCTGGGCCTCCTCGGTGGACGCACCTGCCTTTGGAGTCCTGACCTGTGGCACTCCAGCACAGTCACCTCGCTCCGAAGGCGCCTCCCCTTCCTGGGCTCCATGTGGAGAACCTTTAAGCAGAGAAATGCTGGTAAAGTGCCTGCTGACTTCACGGTGAGACATGGGATATTATTCCCACTAAGAAGCCCATAGGACTGCAGACAGGCGCTGGGGGCAAGAGCCAGTGAGGGAAGGCCTGTTGTGCAGAGCTCAGCCCTGACGATGGGGAGGGACTGAGGAAGGGGCACAGTGCTGGCAGAAGCAGTGGGGACCCCAGCTCGGGCTTCTGCAGATGGGCTTCCACACGGCCTGGCTGCTGCTGACTTGTGAGTACTAAGGAGAGGCTGTGTCCACACCCAGAAATGTCTGCTTCAACACGGAAGCTGGTGTGCGAGGACTATTTAAGGATACATACAGACCTCACACCACCTTCCGTGTAGGTTATGTGCTGAGGGCCCTGCACGGGGAGCAGTGGAGGGGAATGGGTGAGATCTGGGGCAAGAAATCAGAATCAAAATATCAATGGGAGAGAAAAGGTAGAAATGAGGTGTGGCTGCTGCCCCTGGCATCATACAGTGGTGGACAAGGGACAGATGCCCAGTGTGACTGGAACCCAGCTGACATCTCACCCTCTCCCAGCCCCCATGTGCCAGGGCCACATTCTTTTGAACCTCTCCTGATGTGGAGAAGTAACGTCCACCCTGCTAGGCACCTGGGGACTTTCTATGGCTCACTGTGGGCAACCACCTGGGCCTGGAAGAAGCCAGTCTTGGGGGAAAGACAGGAAAATGCAGTGGCCAACACATGCCCAGAGTGACCCACTCCAGGATACCCACACCCCAAAAGTGCCCTTTAAAAACAACACCCCATGGAGGGGTGGGGGAAAGGGGAGGGCTTTGCAACACAGAGAAGACAAGTAGTGATTCTACAGCGTCTTGCTATGCTGATGGACAGTGACTGTAATGGGGTTTGTGGGGGGGGATTTGAGGTACGGGAGAGCCTAGTAAACATAATGTTCTTCAAAAAAAAATAATAAATAAAATAAAAAAAAACAAAGAGAAAAAAAAAACACGCCATGGTAGTGACCAGGTCAGTGCCTGAAATTCCCGGCAGAGGAGGGTCCCAAAACATGTCAGGACAGGGAGGGGAAGGCCTTGGGTGCAAGGTTCCAAGTGCTGGGGCACAGTTACCCAGTCAGGGACAGCCAGGGCCAATGAGATCTTTTAGGCAAATTTCAAGATTTCTGAGTCCTGAGTCCTGAGCCCTGTCTTGTGAGGCCTCAGCGCAGCAGGGGTGGGCCGCCTGGGGACAGGCAGTCAGTGCCCGCAGCCCAGCCCTGGAACTGACAGCACGACACCAGGGAACCAGGATTGGAAGCAGGATCCATGGAAGCCTGGGCATCCCCGGGGAAAATGAGACCAGAGCCCAGCTCAGGACCTGGGCGGGCGGGAGGCACTTACCCAGGGAGGCCAGGAGCACAAAGTTCTCCAGCATCACCTGATGGTACAGGAGCCTCTGCGCCTCATCCAGGAGGTTCCACTCCTCCTGGGAGAACTGTATGGCCACGTCCTCAAAGACCACAGAGCCCTGTGAAAGTTGGGACAGTTCTGTCCATGAGCAGCTTCTTGTTCTGTCTTCTCACCGACTTGTTTTTACACAGCTGTCATCTGTTGAAGGGGCCAGAGTGAGGGCCACCCGCTCGGTCAACTTACCCACTCACCCCTCTTCGGACTGCACCTCTCGTGTCTGCGGCCCCTCCACTGTCACAGCCTTCCCTCGCCACCCAGGTCTCTGCCACAGACATTCTGGGGCCTCTGAACACGCTGCCCTGCGTATGGAACCCAGGCAGTGCACGGCAGAGGCGACCAGCACCCTACCCTGCCCCCGTCCTGCCCCAGACGCCCGAATTCCTGCACACCCGGGGTGGCCTCCAGCCCTGATGAGCTTGTCTCCCCACCTATCCCTGCGTCCTGCTGTAATGCAGATACCCAAACCCCTGTGAGGCCCTCGCGGTGCTTGTCCTGCCCCCCCTTCTATGTTGAACGTGTTCAGCAGTTGGGACCTTGCTCTCAGCACCTGCATCTCACTTAAAGCCCACTTGCACTGAGTCCCCAGCACCCTCCTCTGCCCAGGCCTGGCAACAGTAGCTGATCCCATTTTCCCTCAAACTAATCCGCCAGCCTGAATGAGACAATCTGGGCCCCACCAAGAGGCACCACATCGCTGGCGAGTCACGGGCGAGGTACCGACACACACTCCAACCTTCCTGCCATCCTCACGCCCGCGGCAACCACCTCTGGGAGGCCTTTCCTGCTCCACCCCCGCTCGCGGTGGCCCCTCACAGCCACACACTTCTCCACGCTTCCCCAGCGGCCGCCTTGGGGACACCACCACCATCCAGATGCCCAAACGAGAGACCTGGTCCTGGGCCCCTTCCTTCACCTGCTCTGCTCCCTGTGGGCAGTGCCACCAGAAGCTACAGAGGCCCCCTCCGAAACCCAGCCCACAGCCCTGCGGCCATCTCCAACACGAAGCCACCCCCCGAGCTGCAGACCTGTCTGTCCGACCGCTGACTGAGCAGGGCCACTCCAGAGGCTGGGACAGCTGGGACACGGCCGAAGCCCGAGCCCTCGTGCTCGCTCTAAAGACCCGTCTTACTGCTGACTGGCGGGACATCCATCCTTCCAAACAAGGCCAGAGTCCGTGGGGCCGCCCTGACCTGCTGGCATCCAGCTTCCAGGCCCCTCTCCCTCCCCCTCTACGGTCATTTCCAGTTAGAAACAGACCCCACCAGAGCCACCACGGCCATCCAGCCACTGCCACACTCACCTCTGGGCTAGGATCTCCCTCCCAGGCCTCCCTTCTTCCACCCTGACCCCTCATTCTCTCCCGCACGTGGGCCAGAGGCAGCCTATTAAACTTGGATCACATTACATTGCCTCCCATCACCCTCAGCTTAGAGGCCCAGAACCTAAGGCTGTCATTCCAGGCTTGATCCGCGCGCCCTCCTACCACCCCGTGCCAGCTTGTACTCCCAGAAGATACACTAGACTTGACGTCCCTGAACATTCCAGCTCAGTCTCACCTCCAACTACAGAAGCATTCTGGATCCTGCGCCCAGAACACCGCACAAATGTACCCCTGTTGTCAGAAACAGGAAGAGCTCCATGTAACCCAGGACTGAGGTCAGGACCCTGGGCTTCGTGCAACCACAGGGTCTTCAGACCCCAAGTGCAGAGAAGAGGAGGTGGAGTCGCAGGACATCACCGTTCCTCCCGCTGAGGGCCTGGAACCAGCTGGTGACCGTCAGGGTGGCTGAGGGCCTGGGCCACCCTCCACTCACCTGCGCAGAGTCCACCAGCATTTCTGTCACCACTGAGGGACCCTGGGGAAGAGAGAGGCCATGAGAAATGGGCAGCCACGGCAGAGCCGACAGCCGAGCTGGACAGCCCTGCCTTGCCCCGCGGCAAAGCGATCTGGGCCTGAAGGTCGACACTCAACTCCCCAGACCTCCGTGCAGCATCTCGCTGGCTCTGTGACCCTGGAGAAGGGCTGAACCTCCCTGAGCCTCAGTGCCCTCGGCTCTAAAATGCAACAAGAATGGTCTCGATGCACACGGCTGGTACTGACACAAAGCGTAAGTAGGACACACTGTGCACCAGCTGGGACTGTCCACAGGATCCATGGTTTTGAAAATGTTTTCAGGGAAAGTGCATGGTAGGGTCCTAAAAATTCGGGCATGTGTATTTTTTCAACTTCTAACCAAGTACCTAAAGGAATATTAACATTCAGACCAATTACTAAGTGTTCGGATAACTTTGACTCAATACATTCATTTGGAATTGCCGACCTATGTGGACACAGTAAGAGTGTTTAGCTCAATAACCGTTTCATGCATTCCTAAGGAGCTGCAGGGAGGCAGTGAGCAGGCAGGTCAGCTGCGAGTCCTTTTAGCAACCAGGCCTGCCTGCAGCACAGTGCCCTGGAGGGGAGGTGCAGGAGCCCTGACTGGGCAGCGGATCACCCCTCTTGCTCATAGGGCTGTGGGAGGGGACGCCCCTAACCGGCCGCCCCACTAAGCCAGCTGGCCTCTGCCTCGCAGTGGGAAGACTCCACACCAGCTCAGCGCCTCCCCACACTCACGCGGACCTCCCTCCTACATTCACAGGCCAGAATTCCGCCCCACCAGAACCGCTCCCTCCCTGCGGGGCCGTGAGGGAGGCACACCCATCTGGGCTCTGCCCTCCAGTCTCAGCCTCCCTACTTGCCCGCAGAGCCCGTGTGAAGTGACAGCCTTAACACTCTCCCTCTTCAGTCTGATCACCAGGCCGGGACCTGGTCCAGGCCACACCCCCCACCGTTTTGAAAGCTTCAGACCAGTTTCCTGGGCCTCCAGACCTACAAGTCCATCTGTTCAGGTGATGTCCCCCTTTTCTGACATCTCCATCTTGAGACCTCTCAGAATCTTCTCCCTGGGTCCCGTTCCCAGCGCTGACGTCTCCCTCTCCATTCCTTAGATGTTCAGGTGAAACAACTCGGGATGATTTTCCACCCCCTCCTTTTGCTCCCAGCCATGCGGACGCAGTGGGACATCCTGCCGACTCTACGAACCACCCGAAGTCTTGTCTCACCCCTACAGACCTGCCCTGGCCCCGCCCTTACCGTAATCCTCTGGGAATGTATCGCCGTGTCTGCCCCTCCGGTCTCCCTGAGCGGCTTCCTCGGCCTATTTGTCCTCGTTAAACTTCTCCTTTGGGCATGTGCCGCCGCGTTCTGCCCTCCTTTCACATCCTTCCACGGAGCTCGGCTGCGCAGGCGGCCACTGCAAGGCCACTCCTGACCCTCGCCTCCCTGAGCACATAGACTCAGACGCAGCAGCACCTGCAAGCCTTCGGACAGTCCCTGACCAGGGACACGTGCCCCACTCAGGAAACTGGCCGAAATGGGGACCCCGCACGCATCTCCATCTGTCCTGGACGGGGGACGCGCCCCTCAATCAGGGCTGTAGGTTTCAAGAGTGGGAGGGAGACCGGCGGGCGAAGAGACCCGGGTGATGCAGCACCCACCTGAGTCGGGCTCGCGGGCGTGCTTCCACCCCCGGCCGGTGCGCAGCTCGGGCCGGGAACGAGGGCGCCGCGCCCCTGGCCCGGCTCCGTCGGAACTCACGCTTCTGTGCAGCGCGGACCACGCCTCTCCTCGCGCTGTCCGCTCCGTCCCGGCGCGGTCCGCCAGCGTTCCGGGGTCCTAGGTCCCGTGAACTGGCCGGGAGCCAGCGACGCGGCCAGCTCCAGGGGACGCCGGAAATCCCGCCCCAGCGGTGCGTACGACGTGCACGTCCCTGCTAGTCTGTCATTGGCTCCGCGCCGCCGCAGTGCGCAGAGGCTGCTGCGTAACAGCGCTTCCCACGCGCCTATCCGCCGCGTCTCCAGCGCGTGGGTTACTCGCGACTTACAGAGGCCACGCGAGGACGAGGCCGATGGGAAACAGCCCCGGGCCTCCCGGCGCGGCGAGGCTTCGCGTGAGGTGCCCAGATATCTTCGCAGTGCAGTGCGGGACACGTGACAGCAGGCTTTCCGGATGGACACAATCTTTCCGGGGAGCACAAGTTCCCAAAAGTATACGTCCAAAGGGACGCACCATAACATACTGACACCCTGCGTCAGCTTTGCAGATACGTGGAGACTGAAGTTTTGAGTCATTTTCTATGAGCAGAGGAGGTTCGGTGGGGGAAAGAAAGAAAAAACCCAGACGGAAATTGAAGGAGGGATGTCAGGACACTGAGCAGGTAGAAAGTATGACGCTCTGCCTCTTGTACCCAGAGAAAACACCTCTCTGTGTGGTCAGTTGGTGGTGTTCCAGCCTTGCTAAGCATTTTAATTCATAAAATGTCTTATTCCGTATCTGGGACATTTTCCATTGTTTTTAAGAATCAGAATCCAATTTGAACAGAAGAGCAATTTATGCGTGCCATTGCCTGTCGGCACGCGTGCAAGGGGACTCACTGACCCAGGCGCGCTGACTGGAAGGAAAACCTGCCTGTCATGTGGCCCATGGCTGTACCAGCCTTTGTTGCACGCAGGGCAGAAGACAATGTGGGCTGTAGCCCATTGGTGGGGCTTGCCGTTGGCCTCTGAAGAACTCAGCAGAGCCCAGAAGGAGTGCCTTGTGCGCTCTAAGATGGACTTACACCAAGTCCCACAGCGACAGGGGACAACAGTAAGGGGGCCAATACCCCTTGTCAGGTGGCAGATAGACTATATTGGGCCTCTGCCCATGTCAGAAGGCTATGGGTGTGCCGTGACTTGTGTGGACATGGCTACTGGACTATTGGTTGCTTTTCCTGCAAGTCGTGCAGATCAACAAACCACCAAGAGGGGCCTAGAGCGCCTCTTTGCAGCCTGTGGCCGGACAGAGGTGATTGAGAGTGATCAAGGCACCCACTTTACTGGACGTACATTACAAGAATGGGTGCAGCAATTAGGAGTAAAGTGGAAATTTCATGTACCATATAATCCTACTGAGGCAGGTGTGATAGAGAGGTACAACGGTTTATTGAAATCTGGCCTGAAGTTGGACACCAATAGCCTACGGGGTTGGTCAGGTCACCATTGGTTGGTGCTGCGGCGTTTGAATGAGGAGCCACGTGAAGGAGCTTTGAGCCCTGAGGTCATGCCCACACGCCTTGCTGCCTCTCCTATACAGTTGTATGTCGATACCAAAGAAGAGCTGTTGAAGCCAGGATATGGCCAGCAGAGCAACATCCTGCTGCCAGCCCTACTGCATTAAGCCCTGGAGACTGTTGAATGGAGCTGGCCCTGGACATTTCGACTCATGGACCAGCAATGGCTTGCCCTTCTGGCACCTTGGGAGAAAGGCCTGGAAGCTGGTCTCCTCTGTGTATTCCTGGAATAACAGCAGAATGGCCCCCAAAGATCATGGTGTTGTACCCAAAACGTCCTGGAGGTAAGAGCATCTTGTGAGGAAGTTTTATCTTTATGGCCAGTGTATGTACCTCCCGTAGCCCTATATATCAATCCATCTGTAACTCCCACAGGGAGAGGGTGAAAGTTTGGTACACTAGACCAGGACGAGATCCCATTCCTGCCACTGTTTTATCACAAGACCACTCTCTTGCATGTATCCTACCTGATGGACAAGATTTGCCCATGCTGGTGTCATTAAAACATACATCTTATCACAAAACATGTATCTTATCACCCTTAAGGTTATTTTCTCCTAGTCCTGTCCTGAATGTGCCCCCTGGCTGCAGCCGCCACATGATGATTGAACCCTCAGCTACAGCCTGCCTATGGAATGACTAGCTACGGACTTAGTCTGCATGGGACTTTGAACCTAGCTGAATCCTCCAGCTTGAAGATTGTCATGATTTTATTGCTGTTGCTAATGTCATTAGTCTGGTCACAATGCTCCAGTTTTCTCACCCAGGGACGATTGCAGAAGAAGGGGAATGAGTAGATTGTAAGGCGAGATTTCTGGAGGGGTGGGCTGTGGGTAAAATTGTAACATTTCCAGAGTATCTCACAGGGCTTTGGTGCATTTGCATATCCTCAGGGGTGGAGAGTTCATCTCTGGGTCAGTGGGTAATTACCTAGGCAACCAAGGGCGTGTCTGAACAGGAAAGGTTAACAGGAGGGGCTTGCTTACTTGCTTCGTCAGGAGCAGAGGAGAGAGACGGCCCTGGATTGCAGTTTATAAGCAATAAATGGGTTTTAAACTTTATTTCTCCCTCTGATTTCGGTTTTTATAGGTATTTAGCCCCGGGATTTGCTCTCCCCGGACTTACACATGGTAAGTCATCACAGTCATCACCGGTTCTGAATGCTGCTCTGTTTCCCAACTCAAAATCCCTTAGCTATTTATTCTCAGTTTGGTCCTCAAACTTGTTTATTTTGGGTCCCCATTAGATTCACATACTTGTTTAAATCAGGCCGTTCCTTTTCATCACTTTTTTGCAGTCTTTTGTGGAACAGTTTTATGCTTAAAAGTGCTGTTTGTCATAAGAAAGTGAATCCCAGGGTAACACAGGCCTAAGCCCAAGAGACTGTCATCCCAGGCTTGTGGTTTTCCCGTTCTCACTGGACAGGCATCTGCTTGGACAAGCCTTGCTGGGAGCCACCAGCAAAACTGCATGAGGTTTCCTTATTACTTTCTTTTGTCCTCCAATTTATTTTTGTCCTGAAAAGTAGGCATCGATGCAGAGAGAGCATTATCTAAGGTTTACTACCTGTGGGGAGACAGAGATTGTTGGGCCTGAGTTTGGAAGGTGGCCACCCATTGGCCAGGGAGACCCAGGCCCAGGGTCCACCAGCATTATTACCATTTTTCTGACCACTGCCAGCCCACACATCCCCTAAGTCTAAATCTTCCCCTCTTCCAGGCAAAACTCCCATACGACTGCACTCTCATTACAATATTTTTGCTCTGATATTTCTAAGTGGCACAACTACACCAAGGATGATTTGGGCCTTCCATGGCCACTCTGAAGAGCATTTTGGTGGGAAAAAATTCATTTCAGAGGTCAGAGGTATCTTGGTAAAGAAAAGAAATATTTCTCAGGTCCAGTGGGCAGGAATTAAAACAATTTTTTATTGGTCTGATTTCTCAAGTATTGACATTCTGAATCAAAAACTGTTTCAGTAAAAGTTTAGCTGGCCAAAGCGAATGAGTTCAACAAACTTAAGTAAGGACTAGACCAGTAAGGACTAGTAAACTCTTTGTCCTTCCATTGCCTCCTGTGTCCAGCTCTCTTTCTTCCCCCTTACCGTTCTGAATTCTCTCCTTGCACATCTCTTCATTCTTCCCTTTTTTACAGACCCCCTATTTTTTCCCAACATCTCTTAAAATCTCACAGTGCCATTCTTTCTAAAGATGCATCCCATACATGAGCCAGGAATGTAGGTACAATGGAAGAAAATAGGCATTTTCCCTCTATGAGGTTCTTTGCTAGGGCCCTGTACTGATAAAAGACAAACTAACCAGTGAAAAACAAACAGATCTATAAACATGTGCATCATGAATACCCCAGGGAACACTCAGCAATGAGTAACTCCAAAGGGTGGTTAGAACATGGGGTTACATAACACCTTAATTGCTCAAAGAAGTGACAAGACAATGGGAAGCACGTTGAGTTTCTAGGGTGCTGAATTGTGGATGGACAGATACAACTATATAGAGGAACTAACAGATGATAAGGGCTAGTTAGTAAATTTGTTATGAAGATTCCTCCGCTGGGTTGTTGGAGATTAACTTCTGTTCTTCCTGGTTGGTTGGGGGGAGACACCTTTACAATATCTTGTCCTGCTTTTAGGCAAAAAGGGGGAGGGCAGATTTTTTTACATCTGCTTCTTTTCAATTGCATCTTTTGAGTTTCTGTCTAAAATAATCCTTATGCCAAAGTGACATTTTTTGCAATGGTGTATTCTGCCACCCTTCACTGGCAACTGTAGAGTTCAAGCTTTAGATCCAGGTTGAATTAACAGGTGTAACTAAAGATTTCCCTTTACCCAAATAAACACAACAAATATTTATAGAGGAATTTATGTTTTTAGGGTGCTTATGACCCAGAGTTACATGTTACAGAACTTTTATATATGTTGGTAGGAACCTCAAATGCTAGATCCTGAATGGCAAAAGCTGGCTGTACTGATTGGGAAAGGTTACTACAGGATCCCTCTTCCAAAATAATCCTGAGGTTCGAAAAAGACTAGAAAATTACAGTCTACTTAAAGTTGTACCTGAGACATTTCCAAGAAAAATCAATTGGACAAGAGTGGCTACTATCAGGAAAACAGAAAATAAGAAGTGTTGGCAAGGATGTAGAGAAATTGGAACCTGGTGCATACTGGTAGGTAGGTAAAATGCAGCAGCTGCTATGGAGAAGAGTATGGTGGGTCCTGAATTTTAAAGATACAATTACATATGATTCAGCAATTCCACTTCTGGGTATAAACCCTCCCCTCCACAAACTGAGAGCAGCTTGAAACTGAAGTATTGTGGATGGACAGATACAACTATATAGAGGAACTAACAGATGATAAGGGCTAGTTAGTAAATTTGTTATGAAGATTCCTCCGCTGGGTTGTTGGAGATTAACTTCTGTTCTTCCTGGTTGGTTGGGGGGGAGACACCTTTACAATATCTTGTCCTGCTTTTAGGCAAAAAGGGGGAGGGCAGATTTTTTTACATCTGCTTCTTTTCAATTGCATCTTTTGAGTTTCTGTCTAAAATAATCCTTATGCCAAAGTGACATTTTTTGCAATGGTGTATTCTGCCACCCTTCACTGGCAACTGTAGAGTTCAAGCTTTAGATCCAGGTTGAATTAACAGGTGTAACTAAAGATTTCCCTTTACCCAAATAAACACAACAAATATTTATAGAGGAATTTATGTTTTTAGGGTGCTTATGACCCAGAGTTACATGTTACAGAACTTTTATATATGTTGGTAGGAACCTCAAATGCTAGATCCTGAATGGCAAAAGCTGGCTGTACTGATTGGGAAAGGTTACTACAGGATCCCTCTTCCAAAATAATCCTGAGGTTCGAAAAAGACTAGAAAATTACAGTCTACTTAAAGTTGTACCTGAGACATTTCCAAGAAAAATCAATTGGACAAGAGTGGCTACTATCAGGAAAACAGAAAATAAGAAGTGTTGGCAAGGATGTAGAGAAATTGGAACCTGGTGCATACTGGTAGGTAGGTAAAATGCAGCAGCTGCTATGGAGAAGAGTATGGTGGGTCCTGAATTTTAAAGATACAATTACATATGATTCAGCAATTCCACTTCTGGGTATAAACCCTCCCCTCCACAAACTGAGAGCAGCTTGAAACTGAAGACAATTCTACACCCATGTTCATAGTAACATTATTCACAGTAGCCAAAATATGGAAGCACCCCAAGTGTCTACTGATGGATGAGTGGATAAAGAAAATGTGACATATATTTACAATGGAATATTACTGAGCCTTAAGAAAGGAAATTTGTACATATGCTACAACATGAATGAACCTTGAAGTCATGGTAAGTGAAGTAAGCTTGTCCTATATCTATATGACTGCTCATAGATGAGGTCCTCAAGTCCATAGAGACAGAAAGTAGAATAGACAGTGGTTTCTAGGGAGTAACGGGAGATGTTCTTTAATAGGTAGAGTTTCAGTTTTGCAAGATGAAAAGAATTCAGGAGATAGTCTGCACAATAGATCATTAAGCCCTGTCACTTTTCACAGTAAACATATCAAATAGGTGGTAGGTTTTCAAATAGCTCACAGATTTCCCCCACCTTGCAGCCCTCAACTGAAACACTAGGACTTTTGACTGAACAACATCCCTCCCTGATCTGTGATACCAGCCATGCAAATGCAATAGGAAGAGACTTGTTAGATGACAAGTTACCAAACAACCTATGAGTAAAAGAATTACAAGGAAAGTTTAAAACATAAATTTTTAACTGGGTGAAAATAAAAATCCCACACATCAAAATCAATGCGACCCAGCAATACTAAGTACTTAGAGGGAAGATTACAGATTTAAACAGCTATATTGCAAAAGAAGAAAGATTTCAATAGCCTAGGCTTTCTAGCCGAAAAATGAAACTAAATAACCTCAGAGCAAAAGGAAAGGCAATTAAGAAAGACTAGAATAAAACCATTGAAAAACCAAAACTATATAAAATTTGATGGATCAAAAAGTTGGTTCTTCCAAAAAATCAATAAAACCGACAACTTTAGGTAGGATGACAAAATAAGAAGTCAAGAGATCAGGAATGACAGGAAGACACAAGTGATGCTATAGAAATTAAAAGTATTATAAGAGAATAATATGAACAATCTTTATCCCCCAAAATAAGACAACTTAGCTGAAATGCACAAAGTCCCAGAAAGATATAAATTGTCAAAATGACTAAAGAAGTAGAAAACCTATATAATAACTATGCTCAGTAATATTTTAAAATATCTTCCTACAGGAAAATTTCAGGCCCCGATTCCTTCATGAAGGTACTGTTAACAAATATGTAAAAGAGAAGTATCTCTAATCCTTCACGAACTCGTCCAAACAAAACAAATCCCAACACATTTTATGAAGTCAGAATTCCTGATATCAAAGACTGAGACATCACAAGAAACTTACAGAACAATTATCCCTCATCAATATATACACAAAATACATTTTAAAAAACATAAGAAAATCAGATGGAACAATACATGTAAAGGATTATACATCATGATGAATGGGATTTGTCCCAGGAACGCAAGGTTTAACCTCTGAAAATCAATTAATGGGATACACTATATATAAAAGTAAAAGTAAAAGAATGGGGAGGGGGTGGACTCCACCACATGATTAGCTCAATAGGTGCAAAGATTTGGAACAGAACCTTGTTCTTTATGCATGAGGCAGATGGTTCAAAATTTTTATTGATAATGAATTCATATGAAACTTTAAGTTACTTAGTTTAAATATCACTTTCCCACTTTAAACAACTTTTTCTGAGTGATTGTCAGAACACAAAAGCACCTTTGTTGTTTATAAACAATGCAGTTCTAATACATAACAAAGCCTTGCTTACTCTAATTTGATGCCATGCTTTTGTACACACAAGATGGCTAACACTATAAATATATGTATGAGCTTAGTGAAAACAACCATTCAAGAGTAACTGTAGGATGCCATTTATATAAAATTCTAGAAAATGTAACTAAATGTCTACTTGGGGATGACAAATTGGGTAGGGTTGGGAGAGGGAGAACAGGAAGGGGCCAAGAGAAACTATAGGGGCAATAAATATGTTTATTATGTTAGCGATGGTACCACTGTACACACATATATGAAACTGTATTTTACACTTTTAGTAAGTGCAGTTTAATGTATTTTATACTTCAATAAGGCTGTTAAGGAAAAGATTCCATGTAAAATCTAGATCTCTTCTTCCTCTAGAAATATCATTAACGTCTGGCAAAGCTGTATAGACTCATCATGCACCCTACCCCATATCTTAGGCGGGTCAACTCTGATCCCTTCTCATATAAAAAAGAAATGCTGGCAAATGCTTCAAAATGAGGAAATTATGTGAAGTGAAATAAGCCAGTCACAAAGACACAAAAAGACATATTGTATGACTCCACTTGTATAAAGTACCAGAAGTGTAGACTTCATAGAGACAGACTGTAAAACATGATTGCCAGGTTGGTTGGGGGTGGGTGGGAAGAGCTATTGTTCACTGGGCATAGCGTTTTCATTTTGCAAGATGGAAAGAATTCTGGAGATTAGTTGCACAAATGTTCTAACTAAATATGTGGATTTTTAACAGTAAACTGTACAATTAATGGTAGAGGATAAACTTCGTTAACATGTATTTTATACAATTAAAAATGCAAAATTTTTAATTAAAAAACTACATTACAGTAGTTCCCAGGGATAAGTTAGAGCAAACTTTTGGCTGAAGTCTTTCCTCATTTGCAGTACTCTCTCTGGTGTGAACTTTTTGGTGCTGAATGAGAGTTTTAGCTGAACATGTGCCCATATTTGCTGCACTCACAAGGTCATTCTCCACTGTAAAATCTCTGATGTGTAGTGGGGCCGAAGTTACATTTTAGGACTTTCCTACACTTACTGCACTCAGAAGGCCTTCCTCCAATGTGAGGTCCTCCTCATGTCTAATGAGTGGGGAACTGTAGCCAAACAATTACCCATACTCACTGTACTCATTTAGGCCCTATTCCAGTGTGAACACCTAAGGCTTCTCTCCAGTGTAATGAGTTTGGAGTGGTAAAGGACTTAGCATATTCTCTGCACTCATAAGGCCATTACCAGTGTGAACTCTAATTAACAGGATGGAGTTGCACCCAAAGAATCCCCCATATTCATGGTAAACATAGGCTTATCTTCATTGTGGATTTTCTGGTGATGAACCAGGTGGGACTTTCTAACGAAGGCCTTCTGACATTTGTTGCACTTGTAAGGTCTTTCTCCAGTGTGGATTTTCTGATGCTCAACAAGTATATGTTTGTGGCTAAAGGCTTTCCCACATACACTGCAGTCATAAGGCCTCTCTCCAGTGTGATTTCTCCAATGTTTAATGAGGTTGGAGTTGTACCGAAAGAATTTCCCACATGCGCTACACTCATAAGGCCTTTCTCCAGTGTGAACTCTCTTATGTCTAATGAGTCTGCAGTGGTACCTAAAGGATTTCCCACATTCACTGCATTCGTAAGGTCTTTCTCCAGTGTGATTCTGCCAATGTTTAATAAGCTTGGACTTGTACCTAAAGAATTCCCCACATAAGCTGCACTCATAAGGCCTTTCTACAGTATGAACTCTTTGATGTCTAATGAGTGTGGAGGTATACCGAAAGAATTTCCCACATTCACTGCACTCATACGGCCTTTCTCCAGTGTGAACTCTCTGGTGTTTAATTAGTGTAGAATTGTACCTAAAGAATTTTCCACATTCACTGCACTCATAAGGCCTTTCTGCAGTGTGAACTCTCTGATGTCTAATGAATGTGGAGCTGTACCTGAAAAATTTTCCACACTCACTGCATTTATAAGGCCTTTCTCCTGTGTGAACTCTCTCATGTCTTACTAGTCTGTAGTTGTACCTAAAGAATTTCCCACATTCTCTGCACTCATAAGGCCTTTCCCCATTATGAATTCTCTGATGTTTCATGAAGTTAGCATTATATTTAAAGAATTCCCCACATTTGCTGCACTCATAAGGGCTTAACCCAGTATGAACTTTCTGATGACTAATGAGTGTGGAGTTTTACCTAAAGAATTTCCCACATTCATTGCACTTAAAAGGCCTTTCTCCAGTGTGGGTTTTCTGGTGCTGAACAAGATGGAATTTTCTAATGAAGGCCATCCCACATCTGCTACACTCATAAGGCCTTACTCCAGTATGGATTTTCTGGTGCTGAACAAGAATCTGTTTTTGGCTGAAGGCTTTCCCACACTGAGCACACATATAATCATTCTCTCCAGTTCCAAAGGCCTCCCTGCACTTGGCGTCCCTTTGTGGCTTAAACTCACTGTGAAGGGTCAGGCGCTGGAGAAGGCCTGTGCTGGCTGGGAAGTCCTTCTCACCTTCGCTGCATATGAAAGTATGCTCTGCCATGTGAACACTGCTGTTCATCACAAATGAAGGCCTCCTCTCATCACTTCTGCAAAGTTTGTCTCTGATCTGCTCCTTTTGGTGCTGGTGCAGGTTTGTCCCACAAGTGTACTGCTCAGGGTGTGTTCCATCATGCTCATTCAGGTGCAAAATGTCTGTCAAGAGTGGGCTAGATGTATCACAGGGATGAGCCTCCAGGATGGATGGATCTGGCTTTGGAGTCCTGACGTCCTGACCTGTGGCACTTCTAGAGAATTACCTTGCTCACAAGGTAGCTCCCCATCCTGGGCTCCATGCAAAGAACCTGTGCTGGTCCACGAGCATTTCAGCCACTGCCATGTGACCCTCGTCAAGAAGACTGAACTTCAAACTGGGTGACCCTGGGCCGAGGGCTGGGCGGCTGGCCATTGCTCCGGGCTCCTACGCAGTGCCTGCCCAGGGTCCCGCCCGTTTATAGGGTCAGGGGTTGGTGACGCATTTACAGGCGTGATTGGATGAAACTTGCCTGCCGAGGGAATCCCGGAGGGGCTTTGCATCCAGCCCCGCCTGCCGCGCCTGTCACCGAACACCCCGGGGGCCACAGAGGGCAACCGAGTTCCTGCAGCAAGACAGGGCAACATCCGCACCCGCGGGACACGAGTGCCGGCGTTGGGCCCCGAGTTCCCGCCCAGCTCTATGCGAGCGAGCCGGTGCCCCGCGGCGCGCCCTCCCCAGTCCCCAGATGTGGGGCTCGCAAGCGCGGTGGTCACGAGGCCCCAGCTGTGTCGGGCTGGGCTGGGGACCCGGAGTGGCACTCCGCGCAGCCGAGAGCTGGCAGGGGCACGCAGGTCTCCTGGCGGCGGGGGGGAGGCGCCGCGCCAATGGTGGGCGCGGGCAACAGGTGGCGGCGACGGCGGCAGCACGTGGGCACGGGCGGGACTAGATAACATTTTAATCGTTAACAGAAAACTCTTCTCAAGGTCATACACATAAATATACATTTATACATATATATATATATAATTGAAGTATTGATATACAATCTTACATTAGTTTCATTATGTTAGTTTCATTAGTATATAACACAGTAATTCAACAGTTACGCATATTATTAAACCCTCATCCCCACTAATGCAGGTACTTTCTATCAGTATAGGAAGATGTTACAGAATCATTTGCTTTATTCTTCATGACAACTTAAATCATGATAGCGAATTTTTGTACCCTTTCATTTCCCTCACCCTCCTCACCCACCCCTCAATGTATAAGATGTTGTTGCTTTGAATGCCTTGATTTTTTTAATAAGATAAAATTTGGCCTATGACAGAAACAATTATGTGTATCTGAAAATAAGCACTTTTTGATTACATTTGTATATGGATTCTAATGTCAAACATTTGCTTTTTCAATGAAGAAAGTGAAATCCAAGTTATACAGANTTTACATGGCCATCTGCAATTGCTCAGCTGTAATACAGAGCCCAGAGTGTGGACCACTCCTTAACTCTCACACAGTCAGTATTTCTCCTGCCTTAAACCAGCCCTGGGCCAGGTGCCAGACAACAAGGGACAGCTCCTATACCGCAGGCACACTGGAATTATACAGACTAGCTATCCTGAAGTCTTTCTTCCTACCCTCTCTGCATCTCACTTGGAAAGTCCAAAACAGGTTCTGACCTAAGGTTTCCTTTGGCTCGTGTCATGCCTCCTAACCAAATCCAGTGCTTCCCCTCACAGCCTTGTGTTACATTTCCTCAGAAATGTAAGTAATAAAACCCTGTCAACATCATTGGCTTTTGCACGTCATCACTCACCTCCATAAACTAGAATTGCATGGGTACAGTCATTGATGCACTTCTCTCTCCAGGACCTTCAATCCTCCCCCATACATCCCCCTGCTCATTCTGCTCCCTGACTTCCTGCTCTGGAAGAGTTACCAGGTCCTGGTGGCTTGGGTGCCTGTTTCTCCTGATCACTGTGTCCAGCACACAGCATAAAATATGTGGGGTGTCCACAGGCTGTGCGCCTAGCATGCAGGGCCTTATCCGTTCCCTGCCAGTTTCCCTGGGGTCCCCCCTCATCTTCACTCTCAAGACAAGCAAACTCAGACTCCTTCTCCCTGAAGCACCCAGGGCCAGACCTAGAGACAAGCATTCACACTCTCCCTCCCCTGCACTCACTCCTCCCTCACAACACCAACCCCTCCACAGTGACAACTCCACAGACCCACCCAGCCTCCCCACAGTCATTTCCTTCATCCCCAATGGGCCACTCTGCACCTGGAATCCAGGCAGTGCATGGCAAATGCCCCTGGCTCCTAATTCAGCCCCAATGCTGCCCCTGAATACCAAAGTACTCTAGTGCCATGGCCAGCCCCAAGCCCTGCCTTGAAGACCTCCCCCCAGGGCTGTTTCTTGCATCATCCTCGACCTCCCTTCCTTTGCAAGGACCTCACATGCCCTTGGCCCCTGCCCCTCTGCCCTGCACTTAGCCGTTCCTTATGCAGCCAGAACCTCGCCTCTCCTCACTTGAAGCTCAGCTGCACTGACATCGCCACCCACACCCTCCCCCCCACCTGAGGTCTGGTGAGTCTCGTCACTGATCCCATCTCCCCCGTCTCCATCCATCTCACATCCACTGTTGCTTCTAAAGATTTCCCCACTCCTATACCCACTGTCACATGCAAACACATGGACCTCTGCTGCATCAGCGGGTCTCTCTGATAACCACACCTCCACCCAGGTGCCCATTCAAGAGAGCCTTCATTCCCATACTTTGTCCTACAATGACATGGACACCATAGCTCAGAGATGCTGCCTCCGAAACCTGACCTAGTTTCATGTCAGCTGCACACCGGCAGCTACATTGTGGCTGTCTCAGACATGAATCCATCCCTGGAACTCTGGGCCTCTGCGTAAAAGGGCCCACCAGACACTGCCCCTTGGAGTCTCTGGAACATCTGTGCGAGGACAAACCTGACCGCCTCCTCTTTCCTCTGAAGTATTCCCTCTATGGTTGACCTCCCCATCTCAACGGATAGAACCCCCATCCTTCCAGGGAAGGTCAAAAGTCCTGAGCCGTCCCTGACTCCCATCTCGTCCCCTAGCCCGCACCCTCACTGCATCACTAAATGTGGGCAGCTTTGTGCAGACACACCCAGAAGGCAAGCAGTCCTCCACCTCCACAGCCAGCATTCGTGGGCAGCCACCTCACACTCACCTGGAATACTGCAAGAAATCCCTCCCACACTCCCTACCCTCAGCTGCCTCCTCCCACCCTGCAGCAGAGGTCCCAGCACCCTCTTCTGCTTCAAACCTTCCTTAACTCCCACCAATCTCAGATTAGAGGCCCAGGACCTAGGCTATCATTCAAGGCCTGATATCTGTGCAGCCCTATTCCCCACTGCCTCCCCATTCCCATCAGATGTGAAAGACCTGCAGCTCCCTGAACATCCTAGCTAGGCCTCACCTGCGAGCATCTGAACATTTGAATCCTGTGGCGTGGACTCCCCGCCATAACTGACTCCATCATTGTCAGAAATAGTAACTGTTCCACATATAACCTCAGACTAAACATAGAATCCTAGGCTTGGTAAAAGCACAGTCTTCAGACTCAAGAGAGAGAGAAGGGCAGAAGTGCCACGGCACTGCCATTCCCTTAGGGTATATACACCTGGGTGTAGAAACCACTGGGGTGATATTTGGGATGGGTGAAAGGTGGGACACTCTCCACTCACCTGTACTGGGTCCACGAGCATTTCAGCCACTGCCATGAGAGCCTGTAGGAAGAGAGAAGCAATGAGAAAAATGGGTAACTGTGGCAGGATCCTACAAGCTGAGCTGGACCCCACAAGTGCCTTGCCTGGAGCAAAGTGATCTCAGCCTGATGATCTAAGCTCAGCTCCTTCAGAAAACAATGCTGCCTTGTTTTTTCTGTTTTCAGGTCACCAACTGGGTGACTGGGGGAGAAGGACTAAGCCTTCCAGGGCCTAAGAAAAAAAATGCTGAAGATAAGAAGAGTGCTTCCAAGCTCACAGGGCTCATATTGGCACCAAATATAAGAGATACAGGCTATGTATGGGCTACCACTGTCATAGGATCAACAGTTTAGAATATATTTTCAGAGCAAATGAAATGGTAGGATTTTAAAATTTGGGGTGCTTACTTTCACTGCTTTTTAAGACTTCAAAAGATGTCACATAGAAAACTTTATATCATAAGCAAATAAGAGGTCAATTAATGTCAAATCAATTGTGAAATGTTCGCACAAATTTAACTTATCAAACAGGCTCGTTTCTCATTGTTTACCTGTGTGTACATACTCTCAGGAATAGTGGTTAATTAGTGCTTTATCAGTAAATTTTTCGTACTTTGTTAAGGTAGTAAAGAGGGGGCTCAGAAGGCAGGTAAGCTACTGGTCCACCAGCAGCCAGGCCTGACTGCTAAGTAATCCTCAATAAAGAGCTTGTTGGGGGTCCCTGACTGAAGCACTGAGCCCTCTCTTTTGCCCTCAACGATGGAGGTGAAGCCACAGTGCCGTGGTCTAGGCCCAACAACTCCACCAGCCTGGCAGACCTTTCTTTCCCTTGTTCCATAGCGAATGGCCCTGGGGTCGGCTAGTGAAGAGCCTACAGAGAATCTACACCAGCGCACACGGCAGGATGCACTGAAGTGAAGCTCCTCAGCCCCTGGAGGGGCCTCCCTCTCGGAGCCGCAGGCCAGAGTCCCTCCCGTCCCAGGTCCGCCAACGCCCGCCCCGCACACCCTGCCCTCACCACACGGCCCATCGGGAATCGCAGTCTAAGACCCCCTCCTCAAACTGATCCCCAGGCCGTGCTCTGGTTCGGTCCACATCCTCCACCCCTCCGGTAGCTCTAACGTGTCCCCGTCCTCAAATCCCAGACCCCTTTATGTTCGGCTACATATACGATGCCTCCACCTTGTGACATCTCTATCTTAATACAACTCGGAATCAACATGTCCAAAATCCAATAATC